GTGCACCTATGGATGAGGACATGGGGAGGGGGGTTGAGGGCGGATGGTGAGGTGGGAACCAGGTGGAAGGGAGCCATGGGGGGGAAAAAGGGGAACAACTGTAATAATCTGAACAATAAAGATTTAAATAAAAAAAAAAAGGAAGTATAACCTCAGGAATGTATCACCAGAACAGAGGCGTTTGAAACAAAGGCTAGAAAAGCAATGCTAGACTAGGAGTAAAAATAATACAAAGACTAGTAGAGAGTTTATAGGCTCTCTGCCGGGAGCCGGTTCATCCTTGCTGCTTCAAGGGACCTGGCATATATGGCATACTGTTCTTAATATGTTTGCTCACCTTCTTGGCACTATGTGTTTTAACCAAGGTCACCTCTCTGAGAAAGGTTGTTTCCCCAGGTAGGGATTTTTCCCTGAAGTTAGGGAGGGAATAAAACCCCTTAACTAAGTGCCAGGCAGGTAATTAATCACTTTAACTACAAACAATCGTGCTTAAGCTACATAATCTGGCAACAGAACCTGGCTGGACCTGCTGGGGTTGAACCCCAGCACTACTCCATGTACTTAAGAAATTGATGAAGTCTGGGCAAGACTTAGCCCATAAATCCCCAGGCAAAAGGATTCCCTCTTACGGCTTCATTAGACTCAAAGACACACACACACACACACACACACACCCACACACACAATAAATACATATACAGTGGGGCCTTGACTTACGAGTGTCCCGATTAACGAGTTTTTCGAGATATGAGCTGTCTCATATTTGCTCTGAGTTGCGAGCTAAAATTAGGGTTATAAGCCACCTTCAGATACCCCACTGCTAGTTGGCGCAGCGAACGTCACAGTGAACGCCACAACATCAGCCCAGCATCACGTGTCTCACTCGTTCACTTTTGATTTGACATACGAGTAATTTGAGTTACGAGCTCCATCACGGAACGAATTAAACTCGTAAGTCAAGGCCCCACTGTATACACAAACAAAAAGAAGCACAAATATGGGAAGTCATACCTTTTAGGCCTAAAGTCTGCAACTGAAACAGTTTCCCCATCTCAAAAGGTAGAACTCGTAACAGGTTGTTATTTAAATGGAGTTCCCTGTTGATGTAAAATTTCCAGGAAGTCAGCAGACATATTAACCTTTAACTAACAGCTAAAATCAACAATATGATTTCTAGGAATATAAGGTCCTAAAATTGACAAAATTTCATATTATATTCCAATGTCCAGTACAGTGCTTCTCAAATCCTATGTAGTAAAACACAAAAACCCAAACTTCTACAAACCAATACATTTGAAAAATACAGGGAAACAATGAGTTGCTAAATAAATGAAATGGGTGGTGGGTGGGGAGACCAAAAAAATAGAAGCCCCAATTTTTTAAGGGTATTAGATTCAACAGATATAAAATCTCTCTCACATGTTGTATTAGTTTGCAAACTGGCAGTCTAAACAACCATCCTAAGAGCAGCACTGGTCTAGCACATGTAAAGTCTACTACTATACATGTATAAGAAAGTGAAAATTATAAAAATGATAAAGCAGTCTAATATGTGAATTATTAAAAGAGAATGAAGATGATCAAAATAGCTACTGATAGAAAAAAGGTCCTTTAAGTAAATTTGGTTTAGGACAGTGATGGCGAACCTTTTGAGCTCGGCGTGTCAGCATTTTGAAAAACTCTAACTTAACTCTGGTGCCATGTCACATATAGAAATTTTTTGATATTTGCAACCATAGTAAAATAAAGATTTATATTTTTGATATTTATTTTATATATTTAAATGCCACTTAACAAAGAAAAATCAACCAAAAAAAATGAGTTCACGTGTCACCTCTGACATGCGTTGTCATAGGTTTGCCATCACCGGTTTAGGAGAAAGGATCATAGTATATACTTAATAATTAAACCTAAAAAAATGTAAAAAGGCTGGACTGAAGACAGCAATAGAGTAAGATACAATATGTACCAGTTAGGCTGAGTTGTTTTTTAGTTATTATTTCAAATATCTCTACTCTCAGCCTTGGCAGGTAGGTTTTACAGCAACTTTACAGATGAGGAAACACGCAGTGAGGTTAAGAAACTTGTCCCAAATCACACAAGTTGAAAATGGCAAAGTCAGGATTCCTAACTGAACTCTGTGCAACTCCTTATCCCATCCAATCCTACACCCCAAACTATAGTCCCCCAATTCCATGCCTAATTCTAGCTTTTCTCAAGTCCAGGCTTTATTACTATCATGCATACATGCCCTGAAATAACCAAAAAGGTTTCACTAACTGGCAATGGTTTCCTGAGCCCTGTATTAAGTGCCCATAATGTAGTGGGGGAAAAGCACCAGAACTGTCATAGGTGACTGCACATGTGAGATTAACACAGTGCCTTCTATTTGTTTACCCCCAATTTGTTAAGAAAGTTTGACTCAAGAATAAAGTATATTACACAAAACAGCAATAAAACAAATTTTAGACCATGGATTTCTTGATTTATTATTTATTAGCTGACATTCAATTTTCTAAGAAAACCTTATATAAAGGATAGTTATATTTACTTTTGGTCAAATACCATCAAACCGAGTATTGTTTCTACTAAGGTAAACACTCTATTTTGTTTTAAGGGATATACAGTTAGGTACTAAGTTGAATCTGCATACCTGAGTGATACCATGTTTCCGAGTTCTGCTGGTAAACTCCGGATTTTGTTTGAGGACAGGTCCAGATACACCAGATTGTGAAGCTTGGCAATGTCTGAAGGAATACGGGACAGGAAATTGTCACTCAGATGCAAAGCTGTCAGGTGAGTTAGTGACCACAAAGATGAGCTTAAGCTTCTTACTCTTCCTGTAAAAACAACAACAAAAATAGGGGAAAGATTATAGTATTCTCTATAATCTCATAAGCATACAGAATTAAAATAGCAATAAGTAAGTACCTATCAATAATAACCTTAAATATGAATGGATTGAATGTTCTAATCTAAAGATATAGGGTAGCTGAATGGATACAAAACCACGACCCAATTATGTGCTATCTACAAAAGACAAACCTCAGAACATCAAAGACACACAGGAGGAGAATGAAGGGATGGGAAAAAAAATTTCCATACAAATGGAAATGAAAAAACACAAAAAAGGCTGGGTAGCAATACTTGTATCCGACAAAATAGACTTCAAAAATGAAGGCCACCACAAGAGACAACAATGGTCAATCACTACATAATACTAAAGAGATCAATTGAACAAGAGGTTATAACCCTGATAAACATATATGCACCCAATATAGGAGGACCTAATATATAAAAAACTTCCAGAGGACTTTAAGGGAGAGATAGACAACAATACAGTCATAGTAGGGGACTTTAACACCCTGCTGACTTCACTGGATAGATTTTCCAGACAAAAACTTAACAAGGAAACACTGAATCAGATGGATTCAATACACATTTATAGAACACTAGAGGCCCAGTGCACGAATTCACGCACATTGAAAGGAAATTAATTAGAATAAATATTTTAGAGGCTGGGGAGAAACCACGGGAGGGCTCCAGGGCATGGCTGTGCCAGTCTTGCCCAGTCCTGATCAGCTGGACCCCAGCAGCAAGCTAACCTACTGGTCGGAGCATCTGCCCCCTGATGGTCAGTGCACATCATAGCAACTGGTCTAGCGGTCGACTTCATGGTTGACCCATCGGTCGGACACTTGGTATATTAAGCTTTTATATATATACTAGAGGCCTGGTGCACAAAAATTTGTGCACTGGGGGGGGGGGCCCCCCGGCTGGGCC